AGATGTTTATGCAGTTTTAAAGCACCTTGGCTTTGTTCTGAATGCACTTTGTTGTAGTTATCCTACAGAGAAAAGAAAATGCACTTGACTTGGAATTAATGTACTGTATGCATTCAAAAGTGCTGAATAAAAGTTTTATGGACCCATAATAGTGATTATTATTTAAGTTAAGTTTTGCCATAATCATGTCTTTTTCCATAATCAGGTAGCTGAACAACATTGGTAAAAAATGTAAAAAATTATATATATATATATATATATATATATATTAATCATTTTCGGCCTTTCGGCATTCGGTTTTTGGCCAACTGTTTCCTATTTTCGGTATCGGTTTCGGCCAAGAATTTCCCATTCGGTGCACCCCTAATTAAAACCGATGCCAAGAACTGCTGGATTTTAAATGCTGCTAAAGAAATGAATATACTGTTAGCCAAATTAAAGATGGAGACCACATTGTGTAATTGTATTTAATATTCCTATTTCCAATGCACTTGTTTACTGCGGTTATCCATAAACAGACTCACAAAAAAACGCAATCTTGTTCAACATAGCCATTGTTTGGTGTGAGCAGAAAACTAGTTTTAGAGTTAAATGACCACAACAATTGATTTGTAGTTAACTTAGGAAACTTTGCACATTTAAGTGTTGAATCATTTTTTCAGTTGTTTGACAAATCACATGCTGTATTGTACTTCTTTATATTTTTCCTACATTTCCTATAGAAAATGTTTTGCGCTGGTCTGGGTGTATTTAGCTGAAAGAAAGATATCAAAACGCAATACATTATTACATCTTTTTTTTTTAGAAACACTAGGATAGTGGATCTGATCAATCTTGCTTATGTGCATATGAGATTGGATCTCCTTTTAGGACTGGTGGCACACTGAGGGGCATGGCCACTCAATGGACCCTGTTTTCGAGATGCAGAAAGGATGATGTAACCGGCGGGACATCCTCGTCAATATTCACCATGTTCTTTTGAAAAGGTCACACCCACAGGTGTGGTTAAATAGTTTTACATTTGCTGCCGACCTGAGGGTGAGCTTGGTGTTACAGGTTAGCTTTCCCTTATTATTGTGTAACTGTGTTTACATATGTTTTATATCCCTGGGGATGTATTCACAACATTTTTGAGAATAAGCTGATTGAGCTCCGAATAGTGGAACTTAGCCTAAAATTGAGTTGAGGCTTAGAAGTGAAACCCTGAAGACAGAAACCTGATCGAGTCAATCCCAAAATGGTTCTGACTCTACTCTTTGTTGCAGAGTTTCTTAAATATCTGATTTCTTGTGTTAGATATCTCATTATATTATTTGATATTGATGAAAGAATCCTGTGGCTGTGCTGCTGCTATGGACATAGTTTCAGGAGTCGTTGTTGCTAATAAAAAGACTGTTTGGTCATCATCCAGACCTTTGCCATTTGGCTGCAGTGCAAACCTTTGAATGACACCTAACAGTGACATCTGACATTTAACTCTACTGAGCCGCGCAGAAGCTACTGTATAGACTAACACAGCATGCCCAAGCAGTGAACTGAGTCACATCTCCATATAGATTAAAAGTTGACTAAAATGAAAATGAAAGCTAAATGGCCAATACAATGTTGGACTCTCTGAAACACAAAACTACACCTTACTGCATTGTAGTAAAAAAGGGTTTACATATGGATGGATTTGCGACTGTTGAACACAGTTTCTATCTTTTAATGCTGCACATTAAGAATGAAAGACAGTCGGACTGGGTTGGTAAACACTTTTTGGGGATTTTCACCACTGACTGACTGATAAGCCAGCACATGTTTGGTATTTTATTCAGAAAAGGCTATTAATGTACTCACATCATTTAGTAACATACTGATGCCCCTAGCTTGAACCTTGCAGATCTGACATTTAGCCTAACTTTACTGAGCTGAGCACAAGTTACACTATATTATATCAGACTGTATATTGTACAGTCTATATCAACACATTCTGCCCAAGCACTGCACAGTAAAATATGCTGAAGACCGGCAAATCTAAATCTAGGTCAAAATGTTGCTTATTGTTTAGGTGTCCTTTGACACGCAGGCATTCATATCATTATCTAGAACTAGCTAGATTTGATCGATATGGACATAAATGCGACTGAAGTCTAATCGGACGGGAGAGAGAGATCAGAGATCAGCTGCTGCTGACGGAGACACGCAGCTCTGCATGAGCACCTGCAGCTCCGCCTGCTGTGATGCGGAGGAAAACACACACTTCAAGTTAGATCATCACACTTAGTTATTTTAATTACCTCTCAAACTACCTAAACTAGTATAAATATGTTTATTTTTACTGTCGGGTCACTCATTACTGGATCAGCCAGCTGCATGAGACGGATACTGACGGCTGTCAGGAGAGGGGGAGGAAAAGAGAGGCTCCAAGTATTATTCTTATATTATTATATAGAGTCATTATTCATTTGTTTTAAAGCTCAATAAATAACAAAGAAGACCTTTGACCGGCACTTTTCTAATTTTGTCCGGAAGATTTAAACTTTAACAGACATGTTGAAAGACGAGAAAAAATTCTAACGGAAAATCTGCCGCACGGTTCCCTCGTCCCTCGTATGTACTACAGCGTCTCCAGCGGGTCGAGCGGTCTCGTGTGGACGGACACGTTTATTGAGCCGATTGCGTGTGGACGGAAGACTTTTTTGATATCGAATTCTGTTCGTTTTTGTTTCCGTGTAAACGGAGCCTTATATCAAATCAAATCAAATCAAGTTTTA